CATTTGAAAAATCAAAGTTGCTACTGCTTTCTAATAGAAGCGGCAACACCGCATTGTCGAAAATATTTTAGTTGGCTAGAGAATGTCCGAATATGCCCTCCATTAAATTTTCAAAGTGATCCGTTGTCTGGTTCACCAGAAACGTCCAATGTGCCATCCACCGTGAATCAGCCTGTATAATATAAAATATATATACCCCTTTCGGTTTAAACAAATATATACCCCTTTCGGTTTAAACAAGATTGCTAAGGCTGGGATTTAATCATATAAACGAATGAATGTCACGTCAATGACATGAGAAGGTTTAATTTATTCGTGACTCAAAGTGCTTCAACTTGAAATATTATCCACATTGGTGCTGAAGAGCTGTTAACGCAAGTCTTGTTCGATTGGTGACCTATTTATTTTGTAGAAATTCATATTGAATATAGGATAAAGACATAACTTTTGTCTGATATCTACTAAGTTACTCGATAATAGTTTCTCTATCCTTCAATCGATAAGGCAAGTGTCTTATTTTAAAAGAACGACAGTGTTCCCTGTAAGTGAAATTTAATCTCTTTAATACACTTTATTGTGTAGTAATCCTGAGAATGATAGCTGATTCAATCAATCAATCAATACTTTATTGTCATGGAATTCTTGTGGACAAAGCACTGGTATAAATAAAAATACTAAATACTAAAAGCTACAACTAGCCAGTCAAAATACAGTGCATTTCTTCGATGCCCCCCCTTTTTATTTTTTGAACGGGTCAACTCAAAAAATTGAAATTTGGGATAATGAAATTAATGCATGAATACTTTATTTTGAACTGTATTGGAATATGCTGGAAACTACTGTTGACCCTCTCATCACTGGAATCGTCGAAGCGAATTCTATTGAATTCGATATGGATATTGAATTCCAACAAGATGGAGCACCACCACATTACTCCAGACAAGGAAGAAACTATTTGGATACTAGTTTTCTCGGTCGTGGATTGGCCGTCAAGGTCCTACAGAATGGCCAGCCCGCTCGCCAGATTTGACCCCTTTGGACTTTTTTTATAGGAGTATTTGAAGCAAAAGTTGTACGAAACTGAACCTGCTTCAATATTGGATTTACGGCAGAGAATAATAAATATTTGTAGAGAAATTGACGTTATTGTGTTCGAAAATGTTCGGCGTGAAATATCGGATAGGCTGTTAATATGTCAAGAAGTTCAAGGCAACCATTTCGAGCATCTTCTCAACTGAGCTCAAGCTTATTACCTCATATTATTTAGTTAAATGTCAAAGTATTCAGGCAATTATTAAAAGTTTCACCATTTTGTGGTAGTTGAAGATATTCTAAAGTCTATCCAAATCCAAGATAGAGTAAAACAAAACAAAACCGAAGCGTGATGTTCACGTGATCGCCCAGTGTCAGATGGAAAGGGCAGCGTTCATTGGTGAATTCGCCTTCTTGGTACGAGTTCGGCACCAGCACAGGGTTGTAATCAGTCGTTTGCGTGTTTGTGTGGCGTTCGTTATAGTATATTGTTTAAAATTGTTTTCCAAGATGTCCAGTACAGACACTGCTGATGACACTGTGAGCTATCCTCTGAGTCCAGCCAGGAAACGATCCAAAAAAAAACATTTGAGTGTTGAGATGAAAGAAGTGATTTTAAATGTGTTCAAGAAAGGGATGAAAGAAATTGAGACATCGACTGTCGACGAAGTCACTTCGATTTACAATGTTTTACGGGAATATAAACAAAATCATACATTGTCCAAACCGAATACAAATCAGAATCGTCAAACTATTATAAAATCAATAGATGATGCTGATAAACATGCAATCAGAAGGAAAGTGCATGAGTACTTTTTCAGAAATGAAATTCCCACGATAGACAAAGTACTCACAGAAATAAATGAAGATGTTTTATTGCCACGTTTTGAGCGGTCAACATTCCATAAAGTATTGAAACATTTGAATATTGTATGGAAAAAACGAGGGCGCAATAGTTTATTATTGGATAGAGAGGAAATTGTGTTATGGAGGAGAGAATATTTGACCAAAATTAAATATTATAGGGAACAACAGAGAACAATTCATTATATGGATGAAACCTGGGTTAATGCTGGTCATACTACCCCTAAACTATGGGTCGATGAAACTGTGACCTCATCTAGGAGGGCCTTTCTATATGGACTATCCACCGGATTAACAAATCCATCAGGTAAACTTATATTTATATTAAGACCTGCCTCAATCTCAATATATAAAAAGTAACCCTCGTATTTGTTTCATTTACTTACATACCTCTTCATAACTTCAGGTAAAGGAAAACGGCTTATTATTTGTCACATCGGCAATGAGAATGGGTTTGTTGCTGAAGGACTGTGGTGTTTCGAGTCGAAGAAAACTGGAGATTATCACGAAGAAATGAACGGTGAATCTTTCGAACAGAGGTTTTCCAAAGTTCTACCCCATCTGGAGGATAATGCTGTGATTGTAATGGACAATGCACCTCATTATTCGCGACGGTTAGAGAAGATTTCGACAACGTCTTCAAAGAAGGTTGAAATCCAAAATTGGCTGCGATCAAAGAATACTAGCTTTGAAGACTCAATGCTAAAGAGTACAGCTACTAAAAATTGTCAAGGAGCGCAAGCTTGAATACCAAAAATATATAGTCGATGAGATGGCAGCAGGCCAAAACAAAATTGTCCTTCGCCTGCCTCCAGACCACTGCGAGCTCAATCCCATCGAGTTAATATGGGCGGATGTGGAGAATTTTGTAGCTCAGCATAACACCACGTTCAAATTTGCGGATCTCAAAGTACTTTTTGATGAGGCTTTGAAAAGAGTCACAGCGGAAAAATGGGAGAAGTGTGTTCGGCATGTGATATCGGAAGTCGAGACATAGATGTGGAAGCTTGATAACATAATAGAGACACAAATCGAGCCACTGATAATTCTGATTGGTGAGGATGACACTACTGAGACAAAGTCATCCAGTTGAATAATTTTGATTAATATTCCTTTTGATTTTACATAAAATAAAAATTATCAATAAAGAAATAATTACGTCTCTTTTCATATAATGCTTGAGTGCGCTGTGAAAATCCAATGAAAATTTTTTTATAGTACACATATTATCTGCATTTTTCCCGATAAACTGCAAAACTTGTGCATTTCACTGGTTATTATAAAAAAGTTTTCCTAAGTATGATATAGCATTTGCGATCAACAAGATGTTGGTTCTGAATACGACCCTGGCCAATTCTTGGGATTTTCAATATCACGTGCGTAGGGCATGTCAATGTCTACATCCACTCTATCTTGAATTTGAATTTGCTTTAGAGTTGTGAAGCATTTGTCAGGAGCTTCAAAAAGGTGTGTCACAAGACCCCTCTTTCCATTTAATTTTTTCCTCAGATGTCGCCCAGTCGCCATCTTTAAAGTTTCATCTGTTAATTTCACTTCAAAATAAAGTATTCATGCATTAATTTCATTGTCCCAAATTTCAATTTTTTTAGTTGACCCGTTCAAAAAATAAAAGGAGGGGGGACATTAAAGAAATGCACTGTATATCATGTGCTGTTGTGATATTTATGTTTTAGTTTTATTTATATATGACAAATTATGATTTCAATTATGTTATAATGTAGTACATTCATTGACTTACCATATGTAAGTTGAGTACTGAAATGGTTAATAAAGATTGATTGATTGGTTGATAAACACTATCATTGCCAATTGCCTGGTTAATTTAATCTTTGAAATATTCGAATCGCAGCTTTCGTTTAGAAATTTCTGCAAGTATAAAAAGTCGTGGATTTTATTCAACGATAAAATGGCAACTTGAAATTGCCTGGGCAGTCGCTTTGGTCCTACATTTCGCTAAAGAAAAGACAAATACACGGAACGAAACCTACCGACAGATCTCAATTAAGTTTTATGAGCGGGTTTTTAGAAATTTCAATATTACCTGGTTGAACAAGAGCCTGTCGAAAGTTTGGATAGTTCCAATGAACAAGTGTCCGTCTTGGGTGCCGTTGTAAACCGAAGAATTGTATCTCGCCGAACCGTTGTAAGCAGGGTAGTTGTTATTGTAACCATTATTGATGAACGAGGAAGGCGGCCTGCCGTAACTAGTATTATTATGAATCGAATGGTTCGTTGCCAACGTTCCGTTGATCGTCGGTATCAAAACTTGGACGGGATGGTAGTAAACTTGGCAGTCGAAGCCATTGAAGATCGCTATGGCGACTAGTAGACTAGCTAGCACTTTCATCGTTGATTTTTTTCGTTCGTAACTGATTCGCTAACGAGGTTGCTTTATCTTTTATACTTCGTAATGTGTTTGCCAGGTTTTGTTTAAATCACTGCAGATAAAAGGGGTAAATATTGATTTTTAATGGCCGTACTGTCAGTCAGGGAGATTTAGACTCGTGAGTCACGGTACTGGGAAATTTCTACGATGCTATGACGCTAATACATAGAGGAAAACAACTTATCGTTCTTGTAAATGTATGCAGTTTTAATTTGGTTTATAACTGTAACTGCTGTGTCGTAGTAATTTGAAAAGTTGTTTTGATGGTCCAGTCAAAATTAGTATGTATCTCGGAATTCGAGATACCAAGCTATAATAATAATAATAATAATAATAATATTCTTTATTTCATATATACAACAATGGTACATACAAACATTGAAAGAAAAGACGTCCAAAATAAAAAACAATAATTTTAGTGATTCACTTCAAAATATTCTTTTGAATCATACGGTTCCAGATCCAACAGATCATTGCTCTCCACCTACTTGGTTCAGAAAATCTTTGTGTTTTGTGAAATCAAATCTTCTAATACCTACTCCGCTTGGCCAGAAGTTCGGTTTGTACATTTCATCCTTTTTCTATAGTGGTGCTGTCACTACATATCTTCGTAGTCGATCTTCTGCGGTTGGGATCCCTTTCATATTTACTTCATCATTATAACCTGGTTTATTGGTAATATAGTCTCTTTTATCTTTTCTTCTGTTGCAGCCCTCTTCACTCTGTATAAATAAACCCATACTTTTCGCTCTGGTCCTGAGAACTCGGAAATATCATCGCTAGGACCTGTGCCAATATTCTTTTTGTTTACTGTATTTTGTTTGTTCCGTTTTCGATATTTGACTACCACTAAATTATCATTGTTTTCGTTTTAATTATTATAGGTTATGGGTACACTGTTTGGATTGTTATTGTTTACGCTTGTTTTGGCGGCAATATGTCCATAGGTTGGCTTTTGTGGTATTTTTTTTAAGTTCGCCATCTGCTCGCGAGGTACTAAATCACTTCGTTGGACATTAGGACTTTTCATTGATGTTGAGTTTATTTTATTCCAGCTTTCTGTATCTGGGTTACTTTCATGTGACGTTCCTTGTCCGGCATGCGAATTGTTTATGTTTACGTTTTTTGCGCCTTTATTACTCTCCTCTGGTTTATGATTTCTTCTATTATTTTTTTCTAATATCACCACTTTATCTAGCAATAAACTGTTATTGATCAATATATTGTTTTTGTCTCTTGTTTCTTCTAGTAATTCTTTCAAATACCTGATTTCTAGCAGCAGCATTTCTTTTTCATTCTCGTTGCTTCGCTTTTGATTTTGTATGTTCTCGGTTTTTTCACAGCATATCACTTTGTTTTCCGATAATACCTTCAATTGTTGGTTTCTTTTCGCACAACTTTTATGATAAATCGCGAAACAGTTTATACAAACTTTTACTCCACATTTTTTGTTCTCACAGCACTTCATAAAGTGTTCAATCTCCGCTTTTTCAGAGCTGTCCGACAATACATCTTCATTGTCGGCCATCTTGTATGTCAAACTTGTATAAACTCGTATAAACGTGTATTTTAATATCCTAAATGTTGTTTCCAAACCTACGACTATCAAAATCTAAGTTGGATCTCAAGTTACCTTTGTGACAGAACACAATTCGTGAAAATCAAGGGATTTGTATCTCGAGAAATCTCTGTTAGCTCGGGGGTACCACAAGGAAGCCACCTGGGACCATATTTGTTCAATCTTTATGTTAATGACATTAAAAAATATATCAATCATTGTAAAATTTTGATGTTTGCTGATGATCTTAAAATATTCAGGACCTTGGATTCAAAGAGGACTGCGAGAAACTTCAAATTGATATTGAATCTTTCATAGATTGGTGTATTGATAACTGCATGGATTTCAATGCAACTAAATGCAAAAGTATGTCTTTCTCTCGATCAAGTAATCACTTCATCACTGAATACACAATTGAAGGTAAACCATTGGAATCTGTAAAATCTATACGTGATCGTGATCTATACGTGTAGTCGATGCCAAAATGAATTTCCATCTCCATTATGAACATATCACCAGTAGAGCGATGAAAATGTTAGGCTTTATATGCAGATTAACAAAGGATTTCACAAATGTTAACTCCATAAAGGCATTGTACTTTTCATTGGTAAGATCAATTTTGGAATACTGCAGTTGTGTTTGGTCCCCGAAATATGAACTTTACAGTTATAACATAGAGAAAGTTCAGAATAAATTCATGAAATATATTGCCTTTAAACTGAGCATGCCTCTGATCGATCACTCACTCTCAGATATCCGTTTCAAAACAGATATATCAAAACTCAGTACTCGTAGAATTCATGCAGATATTATATTCCTCCATAAGTTGTTCAGTTCGAAAATTGATTGTTCAACTCTTCTTTCTGAAATTAAACTTCACTTACCTCCTAGAAGGACACGGAACAATAAAATGTTTGCAATCGACTTCCACAGGTGTAATTATGGTAAAAATTCTCCACTTTCTAGAATAGTTTCTAATGGCAATAAGGTTGATCTTGACTTATTTTATATTCCTGAATGTTCTCTTAGAAATAGATTGAAAAATATTCAACTGTAAATCACAGGAATAAGTGCTCAAATATTTCTATTTTTAGGTTATTAGTATAATTAAAGTTAGATTAGTATTAGTGTTTACCTCCTAAAATGTATTGAATTCGTGTATACAAATTGGGGTTACCCGTAGATAAATGAATAAATAAATAAATAAATCAGAGGTACAAGATTCGATTATTGCAAATATCTCGTTTCCTATGAGTTTTTTGCTATTTGTATATACAGGGTGGGCCATCGAAAACCTGAGGCGGAGGTTTTGGGTACTGATCTTGCAAATCCGAAAAAACGCTCAGACAGGTCGATTCTTATTGGGAGGGGGACAGTTTTTTCCCCATTTACAGTGTCGTCACTTCAACCCCGGAGCAGAGGGGTGAACAACCCTTGGAATTTCAATAGGAAATAGGGGGCGAGTCGCACATCGTTTGAAAGATCTTGGAATTCTCTAAACAACAGTGTACATTTTTTTAAATTTGGACGTATTTGAAAGAGTTCTTTCCGATAATTAACATTTTCAATATTGTTAATAACAACAAATTGTTGTACGCCACTGCTCAGTTGGAATGTATTTGGAACTCTTTCATTTGTTTCTCACGCTACTTTTTTTTAAATTTTCAGTTATTCTATGATAAGAGGACTATTACAATTGAGAAATCGTGAAAAATGCTGTTTCTATTTCTCATTTGTATGTTAAAAGTGATATCTACATTATTTCTAGTGCCGTAAAGTGTTGGAAAAGAAACAGGGGTTTACACAACTGCAGAGAGGGTTGAGGTGATTGAACTGTACTATGGAAATAGACGTTGTGCTGCGAGAGCCGCAGAACTGTTCAACAACATGGGAAGAATGTGTCGCGACAGTATGTTTTCGATATAATTGCAAAATTTTGCGCAACTGCTTCTGTAGCAAATGAAAAAAGGCAAATCGAACCACCAGTAACAAATGAGGCGACACAAGTGGCAATTCTGTGCCATGTTGAGCTTGACCATACTTTGAGCACAAGAAAGTTAGCATTTGTTTCCGGGGTGTCACGAACTAGCATTCGGCGTATTTTAAAAACCCACAAAATGCATCCTTAAACGATTAAATTAACGCAAGATCTGAATGAAGATGATTTCGATCGACGCTTGCAATTTTGCGAGTTGTTTAGTGAACAAGCGGTGGAAAATCCACATTTTGTTCTCAACATTCGCTTCAGAGATGAATGTTCTTTTTTTCTAAATGGCACAGTTAATCGCCATAATTGTCGCCATGGGGCGCCATGGGACGTCACATTTTTCATGAAGTGCATACTCAACGTCCACAAAAATTAAATGTTTGGGCTGGAATTTTTGTTGACCGTATTCTTGGCCCATTGTTTTTAGAAGGCAATTTAACCGGACAAATGTATCTGGAGCTTCTGGAAGATACTATTAATCCCCTTCTCACTGATATTATTAAAAATGACTACTTCTAGATCATC